GACGCGTACCACAGAAGCCTATGACAAACCCTGCTGCGGTACCATGGAATTATCATCAGACGGTGGTTACATACAAGGGTAAAGAGATCTTGGAAGAGCTGTTAGAAACCCCCCCTGTTGAGAAATATTCAAATGTAGAGGAGATAAATAATGCCACCAGAAGGCGTTTCCCGCCTAAGAAGCATGTGAGTGCCGAGGAAGCAGAAGTGTTCTTCCAAAAAATGAAAATGTCTGAGTATGAGGTGGTACATTTGTATGAAACTTTTGTCAAGCCTAAATACGGTAAAGAGGAAGATGATGAGGTTTTCATGGCTGAAGAAAGTGAGGAAATACGTGGGGCAATGAGGAAAATGCTCTACAAAAACCACATGGTCCAGTCGGGAGAAGGGACTAGCACCGCTGAGGTGCTCTACATGGGACCAGATGCTAAACTCCAAAACTGGAAGGCTACGCCATTCCCGATTAGGCGGGAGTCCCGGTAGACCCGTCCTGCTACATCCCGAGTTATTTCAGGGTGTAACTCGGATGTTTCCTGTAGTTTCTTGTCTTTAAATTCCCGAATGTGATCCCTGTTATCTTCAAAATTCCAAGATTTCTTCAATACACTACAACAAAAAAGACTTTTAGTGGTAATTAACTAGCGGCAATAAGCTAATGGCCGGTAAACAATTCCAAAAATCCGAATAATAGTGGCGATAAATATGAATGACTTCCAAAAGACATTTCTTGAAAGCTGCCAGTATTATTTTAGCTTTCCCTCCAGGTTTTTCACTAAAATCACATATTCCCTCTATTTCTAATCAACAACTATGTTTAAAAAATTTGGAAAATATTTCAAAAATACAAATGAAGTTTATCATCGTCGTTTCCCTCTTCTCGTTATAGTTGGCCACCATCCCAAATTAACTTTTTGCTGCCATCGTGCCTTCTCTGTCAAACCGTTGATCGTCATCATCCATCCCTAGGTAAAGATTCTCATCGCCGCTGCTCAGCCGCCATTTCACCATTGCCGCTACCATCTCACGGTAATACAACTTATCTTCAATTTGGCTTTGCTGAGATGATTAGGATTGTCTAGTACGTATGAAGAAGATGATGATTGTTTCCCACACACCCAAATCATATTTTTGTAATTAACCCTAATATTTTAACTGTAAATTATCGAGGGTAATTGGATTACTTCTTATCACTTGCAGTGGGTTATTAATCGAGTATTAGGTAATTAGGAATATGAATTTGGAGAGAGGGGCGAGAGAATAGGAAGAAAAAGAGTTTGTGTCAAAGGTGAGATCTTTATAGTAAATCCTCTGTACAAGAAGTATATTATGAAACATATAGGATTATCTTATAAATATGGTATGCCTATTCTTTCCATTTAAGGTCTCACCTTTCTTTAGACGTATGATTGATATTATAGTTTTACTTGGTTTATAATGATTGGAATGAAAGTTGAGAAAAAGGAATTAGGTGTAAGCAGATATTAATTCTCGTATGTAGATACATATATAGATTAATTCTGCTTTAACTTGGAATAAGAATCGAAAAATGAGGGGAAGTTGCACGATGAAGATATGAGCAGATTCTTTCAAAGTGTAGTGAACTTGGCTGACCAATATTATATCCTCCAAATATTTGAAAATAATTAAACTCTCCATTCAAGTAAAAGTTTGATAGGTGTGTATGAAGTAGTGATATGTTACAGCATAATAGACAGCGAAAACATGAAAAAGAAATATCACAAATAGAGTTGCTTAGAACAACATCATATTAAAATCACACAGAGATTGAAGAAAAGGGGATAGAGTACAACACAACTCACATCAATTGATTATCTTCTTCTTTCTCCACTTAAATCACTTAGTTTTTTTTTTATATTTTAAATTGGAATAAATCTTAATACATACTTTTTAGTTTTCTTTCCAGATTTCTTATAACTAGGCCTAACGATGCAAATATTAGTCTAGACATAGCAAAATATACTAAAGTAAGTTGTAGCGCAACACCCATAATTAATTTATGAAGGTATTCCATCCACATACGACAAGATGAAGAGAATGACCATTTCTGATGCACTTAATATTAGTCTACACATAGTATTATTTTTTTATACGGATAAACTACCCTGCTCTTGTATAGGATATTGAGGCTCGAGACAGGACATACATACTGCTTTGGGCAAGCTTTCATCAAAGGTTGGATAGAACCATTATGATAGAATCAGAGTAAGTTTCTTGTATCTTGTTTATGACCTACCCTACATTCATTCTCTCTTGTTAGTTGTGGTATTACTTCACATATGGAATCAATGGAACAACATATAGCAGTTGATCACTATTTCTTGTTAAATAACGTCTTTGACTTCATTTTCGGTATTGTTTACCAATATAAAAATTTAATTTTCTGCTCCAAGTATCACATGTAGTTCCTTTTCTTTGTGATTAGCCCTTGTTCATGTAACAATGAGCTCCAGCTCCTTTTTGCAATTTTTATGAGATGAGTTTTCATACTTGTTCCTGCAATTAGAATTGAAGTCTTAATTATTTGTTAGAATATCTGACTATCGATGGTAGCTTCTCCCTTTTTTGTGATAACCACAGAATCTTGAGAATAAGAGAGCTGAAGAAACATATGTGAGGAGAAGATAGTTAGCAAAATATATAGTACAAGTGCCAGGGATGCCTTTTCAAAGTAACAATTTTTTCTTCGTTTCATATTTGAATGTACATTTTGCTAATCTTTGTTCTTGAAATTGTTGAGAACTCATAGGAAGCAAATAGTATGAACTATGCAAAATAGGTTCTTTTGTATTGCTAGTAATTGTTACCTTATGTTTAGAAAAGATAAAAATAAATGTGTTGTTAGAGGTCTTTATATCTCTTTACGCTAGTCTTAACGATTAGTCCATTTTTCTTAAACTACCTTGTGTAGGAAGATTCCTGTTTCAATTTGGTTGAATTACAATACTTGAACTGCCAAATATTGTTGTTTGCTTACCAACTGGTTGGAGCCATTAGGGACTTTCGAAATGGCATCTTACGAGATTTGGCAATCCTAATTCCAAAGATAGTAATCAAACCTTAAGTATGTTGATTATTTTGAGCAAGAAGATATTTAGGCTTCTCCACACATCTAAACTTTAATACCTTGATAGTCACCAACACCTTCACCACCAAAAGAGACCATCAACAACATTTCTTTAGATCCACTTTCAGAAATTCTTTGTAGCAACTTTTATAAAACATTTAGTCTTGATCATGTGAGAACAACCTAATTTTTTTTGCAAGTCCCATGAACTTGATATTGAGAAAAGAATTTGAAGGTTCTTATAAGAGAAGAGATAGAGGTATAAACAATCAATTTTGTTTTCCAGTGAACTTCAGAAAATGTGTGTTCCTATTCCTATTAATAAGGACTTAATTCATTTTGAGTTTAGCTATATTGCAATGGTTTTTAGAAAAAAGTTATATATTTATCTTCATCATTAATTTTACTAGGTGTGAATTATGTGGATGTAACACGGAAATATAAGGAGAGATTACATGTGTATATTAACATTTTATCTGTAAATATTTGTGTGACACATCTTTGGTCTCAATCTTCGTGTGCCTCTTCAACAGCAAACAGAGGAGTAGAATCTTGAAATAGGAGTAAAAATATCACTTTTGCATCCTTGTCAGGTCTTTGGGTTTTGCATATTTCTATGGGCTTCTTTCTTTTTCTAAAAAGAAACTTGAATATGTCCATTCTAGTAGGCAAAAACAGCAAGTGCTTCACATATTTGTGCTATCTACTTGTTGGATTGGTATTGTTAAGAACAAATTGACTTGAGAAATCTGCAATCCCAATAAAAAATGTTAGGACTTTTTAGAACACGCTCGTGTAAGTTTGTTTGGCAAATATTCATTTAAATGTGTTTGTGAAGTTGATTCTGAGCCTATGCTACTTTGAGATCTTCAAGTACGCATCTATTTTTTGAGAAAAAGCCATTTACAACAAACTTCTTGTACATTTGATTTTGATGGGATTTTGTAGTAGCAATTCCTTCATACACTAGTATATACACCAGACAGTTATTTTCCTGACTATTAATGAAATTCATATGTGGTTATTTATTTATATTTATTTTATTTCTCATTTCAGGTCATACTTTATGGCGGTCAAAGTCTTCGCTCATGGCAGATTACATTATGATCCAGAGTTGGAGAATCTTTCATATAGCTACTTGATAAAATAACTTGTTAGATGCAAAATGACACTAGGTATTAGATTTAAATAGGTTAGCATTTTGTTATGCTGTTGACACTTCCAATTTATGGATTAGTAATTTCGGTTGTTGCGGATTAGTGAAGTGAATTAAGATCATTGAAGAGAATATTCGTTTTAAGGTTAATAAGAATACCAGGCATTAACTAACAATGATGGAAAAACTCTTTCTTAATAGTTAGTGGCAATAAAAAAAGTTTCTAAAAAGTCATTGTTATACTTTTATCGATAATAATAAAAGCTATTAAATAAATGGATAAAGATGGATTTCAAGTATAGCTTTAGTGGCTATTATATTGGCTTCCAAAAAGGATTCTTTTTACCGGTTATTAAATTTACTTTTAGCGGTAATAATAAAAGCTGCAAAATGTAGGGCTTATGGAATGTTTTGTGAGTTTTAGTGTCCATTATAATTGCCAGTAATATTTGCCACTAAAACTAAAGGACTTTTACCGGCCATAACATGGCCCTTTACCAGCATTTCGACAAATGGCCGCTAAAACCTTTGCCGATGCCAGCTTCAACGGCTAATAACTAATTGCCGGTAAATATTTTTTGCGACTATTTCTACTGCCGCTATAAAGAATTTTAATTGCCGCTAAAAGTCTTTTTTGTTGTAGTGATATTTGATCGTTCGTTTTTTTCTTTATCTTTTTTGATTTTGCTATCTTTCTCCTTCATTTCTTCTCTTTAGCTCTAATAATGCAGCTTTAAATAACATGACATGCTTGCGGACTTCATGCCTAGATCCCAAATGCTGTCAGATTTTCGAAATAATGAATCAAGAGTCGAAATACAAAGAAGGTAACTTGAGGAAATAAAACAAAGAATTGGAACAATTGAAGGAAAATTGGTTCGCGGGTTGGAAAGGTCCATACATTACAACAAAAGAGTGTGCTGTACTCAGGGCACACCCGGGCAGTTGTACCAACAAAGAATGGCCCGCGCTTACAACAAGAAGGTGCATCCCAGGAATTTTGAAGTGGGACAACTCGTGTTAAGACGCATTCTCCCTCATCACCAGGAAGCAAAAGGAAAATTCGCTCCTAATTGGAAGGGTTCATACATCATCCGAAAGATATTGCCGAGAGGAGCATTGTATTTGGGAGATCTCGAAGGAAATGATCCCGAAACAGCTGTGAATGCGGATGCAGTAAAAAGGTACTATGTCTAGGTTCTCTATGGTATTGGTTTTTGTGCAATTGAGATGACGAAGGCTTTTCTTCTCGCTATCCAAACACTATTAACCCTTCGTAAATCCATTTGAGCCGGTTACCCTTCTTTGGTACCCTCTTTGGAACCCGGAAGTATTATCGAAAAAAAAGAAAAAAAAAGAAAAGAGAAAAAGAAAAGAAAAGAAAAGCAAATATGATAAAAAAAAAAAGAAAAAAGAAAATATGATTAAAAAAAAAAGAAAGAAAAGAAAAGAAAATATGATGAAAAAAAAGGAAAAAAGAAAACAAAAACAAAAACAATAAAACCAAATGTTTTGCCTGAACTACGTTTGACTTGATTCCGAAAGGATACGTAGGCAGCCTCTCGCTGAGGTTCAGTCACACCAAAACAAAAATCCCAATTTCCCCAAAAAATAAAACTGGGGCAGATGATATAATGGTTCGGCCATGAATCCGCCGAAATGGTTCCAAAGTTGTAGTTCCACCCAAAATCCTTTTTACCCCAAAACCTTGCCCAAGTCCTTCCAATCAATTGGCAAAGGCAGGGAAGCGGAAAACGTTATTGTTGGAATCTGACACAATGCAAATTGGGAGAAATAAAATGAGAGAGTCTTATCGGTGAAAACCTTCGGGCACCATAAGGCGATGGCGAGTAGAGAAACTGAAAATGAGAGAGTCCGCTTAGTGAAAACCCGCAAAGAGCACTATCGGGCAACAGTGAGAAGAGAAATGAGAGAGGTCGATTGGCGAAAACCCGCAAAGGGCGCTGTTGGCCGAAGAGAAGACATCTCCCACCATTGAAAGAGTCCTGGCAAGGTTCCCTGGTTTTGAGACACGGACCATTGAGTTTACGAGAAGTTGGGAAAGTTTGTGCGGGTCGGGCATCCAGTCCAAGAAGCATGCCATGTTTATTTGAAGCTTGCATGCACCCCCAGATAAGTCCTTCTCTTCCCCCGAAAGGGACGCTTCTCTTTAAATTCATCTTCCTGCTTACTTTTTCCTTGAATCCCTTTCGGTTTAACTCTGATTCCGTAACTAGTACAAAGAAAAGGTGGCAGGATTGGTTCCATCGGGCTCCGCCTGGCAAAAGCCGGAGAAAATGCCCAGCCTCAGCGAGTGCGTCAGGCCGATCCCGACTAACCATAGTGGTTGATGCTTTCGAAGCAAAGACATTGGAAAAGAAAGAAAATCAAAGGCAAGGACAGAATAAAGGGAAAAGCCCAGAGCCCACACGGGCAAGTCATAATAGGATCCCGAGAGTTGAATATTGTCGGTTTGGAAAAGCAATTCACCCTCAAGATCAACAAGCAGCAGGGTTCTCAACAGAAAAGGGGCCGGGATCAAGCAATTGTAATGATCAAGGCCACAAAACCAACCACCGTTTCAAATTACCGAATTGTTCTTTGTTGAAAACAGGTCTAATTCAAAGCAACCGTGCAAGAAGCAGGTGCAATCCAAAAGGAAATGAAATGCGCAAGCGCTGAAACAGCTTTGCAGCAGGAAAACGACCAAAAAGGAAGTTCCCCCTCAAATTATTTCATGCATTTTGCTAAATAAAAAGGAAAATATAAAAAGAAGAAGAAAAGAAGGAAAAAGAAGAAAAGAAAATAAAAATGAAAATCCCAAAAGAAAAACACATCATGGTAGCATAGGATCCCATTCCTTAAATCTCCCGGCCAAAAAACCGAGGGGCCTTCCCGGCCAAAAAAACCGAGGAGCTTTTTCTTTCAGAATCCCGGCCAAAAAATCGAGGATCTCCCGGCCAAAAACCGAGGAGTTTTTTCTTTCCAAATCCCGGCCAAAAAACCGAGGAGCTTTTTCTTTCCAAATCCCTGCCAAAAAAAAAAAAACCGAGGATCTCCCGGCCAAAAAACCGTGGAGCTGTTTCTTTCCAAATCCCGGCCGAAAAACCGAGGATCCCCCCGCCAAAAATCGAGGAACTTTTTCTTTCCAAACCCCGGCCAAAAATCGAGGATCTCCCGGCCAAAAAATCGAGGAGCTTTTTCTTTCCAAATCCCGGCCCAAAAACCGAGGTTCTCCCACAAAAAAATCGAGGAGCTTTTTCTTTCCAAATCCCGGCCAAAAAACCGAGGATCTCCCGGCCAAAAAACCGTGGAGCCTTTTCTTTCCAAACCCCGGCCAAAAAACCGAGGAGCCTTTTCTTTCCAAATCCCGGCCAAAAAAACCGAGGATCTCCCGGCCAAAAAACCGTGGAGCTGTTTCTTTCCAAATCCCGGCCGAAAAACCGAGGATCTCCCGGCCAAAAACCGAAGAGCCTTTTCTTTCCAAATCCTGGCCAAAAAACCGAGGATCTCCCGGCCAAAACCGAGGAGCTTTTTCTTTCCAAATCCAAACCAAAAAATCGAGGATCTCCCGGCCAAAAAACCGAGGAGCTTTTTCTTTCCAAATCCCGGCCAAAAAATCGAGGATCTCCCGGCCAAAAAACC